TTTGTTAAATTAAGCTACCACTGAATAGTCCTACAACTTTTAAGAACGCTTGCTTGGGACCAAGGTTTTAAAAATTGGACCGGATTGATCGGTTGAACCGGTCAAATTGGTACATGATAATAGAAACGCGTCAAGTTAGTACTTCAAACTGTTTGAGGGGTTAAATCGTTTAAAACCATTCAAACCATCTAAACTAGTAAAAATTGATAAACCGTCCAACCGATCGAACCAACTATTTGGAGAAAATTTACAAGGTTTGTTGCTGCCACTTCGTCTCGAACACAAGCCCTCATGAGATTTCAACAACTCCTTTACCACCGGAGCAACAGAATCCTTTGGGAAATAAGTTACAAACACTATCTTCTAAAGAATATTACAAGACTAAAGAAAAAACTCATAGTCATCTCCATGAGATTCGAACACTTGCCCTCTTTTATGTTTTGAACAACTTCTACCGCCTGGTTTATATTGTCTTGAGATATATTTATTATAGTATAATTATATAAACGAATAAATTTGACAAGCTTGAAAGTCGACCTCTAGTTCTGTAGGACATAAAGAAGCATCCCAACCACTAAAGCTGCTTCTAGCTTTATAAAAAGAATTACATTCTAATATATTTAACATATATCTTTGAAATTCAAATAATCCGGTTTTTCATCCGGTTAAATTGGTTAAACTATTAAATCTGTGAACCAAAGAAGTAAATACTATACCGTACCGACCGGTATGTATCGGTTTTTAGAGTAGACCAAAACGAAGTAAGAATGAATTTTGTTTTGGTCAAAATTCGATGATTTCAGTCAAATTTTGATGTATTGACCAAAATTTCGATATACCGGCCGGTACACCGAAATTTAACTGGTACAATATGCAAGAATTTAAAAAAAAAAGATTTCCTAAACAAAACGATGTCATTTTGGTCAGCCTTGCAATTTCGATTGCACAAATCCTCCTCTGTTCTCGCATCCAGCTGTCTTGACTTGTCAATCTTCCATTTTTTGGCACAGTTGCCGGTTACAATTCAAATTAATTCAAATTTAAAAAAAGTAAATTTCATTTTTAGTCTTCAACTTTAATATTTTATATAATTTTTATCCTTTAGTTTTTTTATATACTTTTTTAGTTCATTCTTCATGTTTTTTTTAATTCTTCTATTACTCCGTTTAAGTTTTTCTAAATATACACATTTTTAATTTTTTAATTTAAAATGGATGGACAAAAAATATGTATATATTAAAAGTTAAAGGATTAAAAATTATCATTTTAAA